AACTTAATTTGTCCAAACGCCTCTTTAGTCATAGCATAAAGAGCTGATCAAAATGTTTACATGCATACTTGTAATGCCTAATTGTGGTCTATGAATACATATTAATATACATGATTTTTTTTGTTTGTTGATAAATTGTTGATAAATAAATGCACATGTACATAAACTGTGAGCTGTATACCATGTATTCATTGCATTTGTTTCCCTTTAAACTTCTACATGTAATCTTTCATCAACCATAGTTAACATACTTTGACAACGTGATTTTGGTGTAACAATGTATTCAATACAAATACAGCATATTCATTTACTGATTGTAACATTACACTGTACAATGGCACTCGGGGGAAGTGTTTCTTTGATTTATTAGCTTTATAGCACAATAATGATTAAACAGTGTTGTCTAGAAACCAATACATGTTCTCCATAAAGCACTTAAACAGCCTGAGAAAAGAAGCTGGGAAAAAACACATTCTGTGCCGTTATCTGAATGCACACAGACGCAGTCATCAAACATTGTAATTAAACTGCAAGACGGCCTTGAGCTGATAACAGCTCCTTGAATTATAATAGCTGATACTGTTGGTGCCTTTTGTACTTGATAAATGTAGGATGAGACAATGTTGTCTTGCGTCAGCTTATATTTTTAGGCCACAGCACATCAGCATTGACTCATGAAAGATTCCCACGGCCGTCATCACCACAGTGTTTACCTTCTTCCAACATTCATGATTATTTGCAGAAGCACTGACATCTTTCCTGTTTACAAGTAAAAGCTGGAAATTTGCTGAAAAGTTACTCACCCTCAGGCCAGCCAAGATGTAGATGAGATTGCTTCTTAATCTGAACAGAATTGGAGAAATTTAGCATTACATAATTTGCTCTCCAGTGGATCCTCTGCAGTGAATGGGTGCCGTCAGAATGAGATTTAAAACAGCTGACAAAAACATCACAATAATCCACAAGTAATCAACACGACTGCAGCCATCAAATCACATTTTGTAATAAAAAATACATCAAGACATTGTAATGTCAAACCATTGCTTCTGACTAAAATACGAGTCCTCTATCCATAATAATGTTTATTTCAATGTAAAAGTCATCTCATCTGATTCAAGAGAAATATTCACAGATCAAGTACAGTTTAGAAGCAAAAACAGTCCAAAACAGTTGTTTATGTAGATTACTTGTGAATTATTATGATGATATTTTTATCAGCTGTTTGGACTCTCATTTTGACGGCACCCATTCACTGCAGAGGATTCACTGGTGAGCAAGTGATGTAATGCTAAATTTCTCCAAATCTCCTCAGATGAAGAAACAAACTCATCTACATCTTGAATGGCCTAAGGGTGAGAAATTTTTCTTTAGAAACTTTTCCTTTTAAAGCAAGCAAAGGAGGTTAAATTATATATTTATCCTCAAACAATGGAATATTCACTCCACTTATGATTGGTATAATCTGCTGCCACATAGCATCTTAAGCATTTTATTAAGAACTCTCTGATGTCAATATGTTCTCAATGGAAGCCATCGCCTTAGCAGACAAACTAGGCCAATCTCTTAGTTGCCCACATGGAAGATCCAGCTGTAGTCACATGAAAGATCCCAGACTCTCATGCAAGCCACAGCAATGGCTCGTCCCTCTCAATGGATCTAAAATAGGTCATATCAGATCACATAAGCTTTATTTCCAGAGCTCCCATTAGCTTCACAGCGAATCTGTTCGCCTGCGGGTGAACACTGCAGACATGCTCTTCACAATGCCCTTGATGCCTGCTAACTTTTTCACAGATACCCTGGACTCCCTGATGCGATCCACCAGCCCATGGAAAACCATGAGGACACTGTGGTAGTTCTCAGCAGCTGAGACCTCATAAAACTGACAGTCTGCCGAGAGCGCAAGCAGCCTGCCCTCTTCACTGAGGACCGCACGACGGTGGTGCAGGTCCCTCTTGTTTCCCACAATAACTATGGGCATCTTCTCAAAGCCCAGAATGTCCTTATTGGTTTTGATAATTTGAATGAGTCTGGAGACCGCGTTGAAACTGGCTCGGTCACAGATGCTGTAGACCAGCACAAAGCCATCTGCCCACTGGACTCTCTTTTCGTACATCAAGGACTCGGAAGCCGGGTCCTGCTGAGAAGACAAACAGACGAAAATCTGGGATCTGAGGGTGCAAAAAAATCTAAATATTGAGAAAATCGCCTTTAAAGTTGTCCAAATGAAGTTCTTGGCAATGCATGTTACTAATCAAAAATTAAGTTTTAATATATTTACAGTAGGAAATTTACAAAATATCTTCATGGAACATGATCTTTATTTAATATCCTAATGATTTTTGGCATAAAAGAAAAATAAATAATTTTGACCCATACAATGTATTTTTGGCTATCGCTACAAAATATATACCCCAGCGACTTAAGACTGTTTTTGTGATCCAGGGTCACAAATATTGTCCTATACTAACAAACCATAAACCAATGGAAAGCTTATTTATTCAGCTTTCAGATGATGTATAAATCTCAATTTCAAAAAAATTGACCCTTATGACTGGTTTTGTGGTCCAGGGTCACATATATATAAAAGATAGGTTAAATAGTTGATAGAAAGTTATCTGGTTATGAAACACTGAATCACCTGTGAATATGGCGCATCCCATATATTCAAAGTTTGCTCTCGTCCATCCACAACAACATTGTGAGTGTAAAGGGACTCTGTAGAGAAACCAGCGTATCAGTTATTGGTCATTCTATGGAAACGTCCACTTTTCTGTCCCTAGCCTTTACAGAAATATTACACTTGAAAAACACTTTAGGGTTACAATTGTTTTATATTTTAAAATAAAACAATGTGTTATTTGAACAATTACACCTTCTTGAGCCATCAATGTGGCGATATTTATTTTTAATTCATTATAAAGAATTCCAAGCACCACAAAACTGCTAGTCCCCACAGCCATGTACAGAGGGAAAGTGCTTTATTTTGAGGTCAAAAACAGGATTTTCTACCATTTAAAATACAATGATGTATTCATAACTATCAAATATATGATGTAAATGACATAAAAAAACAAAATGCCAAATAAGTATTATAAAATATATAATGAAAGTAGCGTTCCCCTGGAGTTGTGTCACTGGTGTTACCGTTTAACAAAAATCATTTATTTGAAATAAAAATCACACTGATGACATCACTTGACTTCCTTCCTCCCATTTCCTGAAGATCTATGAAAAAAGGCCCATGTTAAGTCCACTGTCTCTTTTCAGTTATCAGAAATGATTTCATATGAAGCTTTTAGTGGAAGTCACTGGTATGACCTACTTTATTGTTAGGGAATTGTAAAAAAACTAGAATACAAATGGATTAAACTACTCAATTTAGTGAGTATACCATGATTGACAACATGTGGTTTGATACCTTGCAGCAGACATTTTGTAAAATGCATTTTTCATGAAAATTGTCACTGGTGTTACCTTCCTAATGGGTAACACCAGTAAAGATCAGTTTACGTTGATGCTCTTTTACTAACTGCTTTCACTAAATGCCAAATGCATGCCAAGTGTAACAATTTAGTCTTATCTACTTAATTGTAGTTCAAGAATAAGGATCTTTGGTCTTATGTAAGTCACTGGTGTTTCATATTGTGTCACTGGTGTTACTTTTTTTCTGTCACATTAAATAAAATGTGTCATGTGACATGATAATAATTTTACATCCATTGAATTCTGCTTCACTCAAGAGTTAAGATTTAAAGGATTGCATCATTACTTGTTTATAACTGTTTTTACAAATATTGTCATTGTTATAGCAAATACATGGTTGCGTAAATGAACTAACATCATTCAATCACACTTTTAACAAACCTGATTAAAATAAATAAAACATAATCTCCTTATTTGTTGCATTATCATTATTTTTCTGTAACTCTGACTACATGCACTAAAAAAATGTAGAAATAATATTTCATAAAAACCTTTAAAATTGCCAGAGAAGTAAGGTAACACCAGTGACCAAAAGAATGGTGCATGTGGTCTTTAAATAAATGCACAAAAAATATATTAAAAAAATCATTAAGCTGTCATTTACGCGTATTCATAAAGTCAAAAGATGATATGTGGTCTAAGTTTAAATGTTAAAAAAAGAAATACATTTTAAGACATCTTGCCATACCAAAAGTGGACGCTTCTGTAGAATGACCCTTATAATGAAACGTAAAAATATTAAGAAAAACTTATGAACTTTTAAATCAATCAGTAAAAAGGCAACATACCAATATCCCCATATTCCCCGATGAATCTACGAGTCAGGAATCGGACAATAAGTGCTGCAAAACACAAAACTTATGAGCAAGCAAAATGTTTTTAAAGTTGCAAAAGATGACTGAAGAAGAAAGAAATGCATTTTATGGATGTATATCATGGAATACTTCCTAAAAATAAACTTACCAGATTTTCCAACATTGTCTGTGCCGAGTACCACGACGTTTGCATCCATTCTCTGTCTGTTTAGTCATGTCCTTTACAGATGCTGCTGCAAGTGATCTGGCGCGTCTCCGCCGCAGTCAACAAAGTTGAGGAGAAGGCGGGGCTTCGTTCGACGTGACGCTGAGATTCACGAGCAGATAACTCAAAGCAGTCACAACAAACATTGCATGACCGATGGATCGAAAGACATAAAAGAGCGGTATGTAAGTAAACGGCATTTAATTGCCATACTTTGCTGAAAGAGGACTGTGAATACTGTATTTGTTGTCATTGTTTACATGGATTGTTCAGACGTTGAATCTGTTTTAGGCCACAAGGTGGTGTGAGTAAGCTATTGAAAATAATTGCTTCGACTTTTAATATGAAAAACGCCTGCTAGTTTTTTTTTTCTGTATGAACTATATACAGTATATTTTGAAATAAAAAGCTAATTAGCTAATTGTTTTATATCCATGCTGGAAAAAAAACAATAGAAACCAACACCGAACTTCTAATGGTTTCCACTACAAAGACCATTAAAACATTACAAACCATCAACTATAAACCATTAACAAATTCCATTAGGATTTAGTGGTTTTAACAAGCCATCAAAAATACCAGTAGAAACCCACAGGGATGATTACAGTTTCCATTCCATTGTTTCAAACCATCTTGTTCATTCAGTTATAAATTATAATAATGTTTGTGTATTCTAAAAATTGATTTTAAATAGCATCGTTTGTAGCTAGCTTCAGTATAGTGAATAAAAAGTGAATATGATAAAACCACAAGTCTGTGTATCATGATAGGGGTATGCTGTATAGGCTATTTAATGAATTTCTATTTTCCTGGACAATAAGGATGAAATGTTCACTAGCTTATTATAGCTAGGGCCTAAAGGCTTGTTCACATCAAGAACAATAATGATGATAACTAGCCATAAAGTTAAAAAAAATTGAGAATAGTGAAGTTTAAAAAGAGAATAGTGGAGTTTACACCACTATATGCAGTGCCATTCTAAATGTGGGATCAGTAAGATTTTTAATGTTTTTAAAGAAGTTTCTTATGACCATCAATGCTGCATTTATTTGATCAAAAATACAGGGGAAAAATGTAATTTTGTGAAATACTATTGCAATTTAAAATAACAGTTTTCTATTTTGATATACTTTAAAAAATATTAAATTTATTCCTGTGAAGCAAAGCTGAATTTGCAGCATCAATAATCCATTCTTGAGTGTCACATGAATGATCCTTCAGAAATGATTCATGTTGGAGACAATTGTGCTGCTTAATATTTTTTCAGATGTGATACTTTTTTGATAGAAGTGTTTATTTAATTGACATTTTGTGTCACACTATACACTACTACTGAAAAGTTTGGGGTCGGAACATTTTTTCTTTCTTTTTTTAAAAGAAATTAATACTTTTATTCAGCAAGGATGTGATAAATTGATAAAACGTGATTGTAAAGACTTATATTGTTAGAAAAGATTTCTATTTTGAATAAATGCTGTTCTTTTTAACTTTTTATTTATCAAAGACTCAAAGAAAATAGTATCACAGGTTCCACAGCACAACAGTTTCAACACTGATAATAAATCAGCATATTAGAATGATTTCTGAATGATCATGTAACTCTGAAGACTGGAGTAATAACTGATGAAAATTCAGCGCTGTGTCATATAAATAAATTATATTTTAAATGATATTAAAATAGGAAACCAGTATTAGAAATCGCAATAATATTTCACAATATTATTGTTTTTCTGTATTTTTGAGCAAATTAATACAGCCTTGATGAGCATAAGATTGAACTCTCATTAAAAACATAAAAAATTACTGATCCCAAACAGCTTTTTTTTCCCTTATAGATGAACGATAAAATCACTGATCAGTGACAACATTGATCAATTTATTTTTCCTGTGGTAAAAGCCAGGAAATTAAAAATGAAATACACTGTAAAATGCATTGTCCATATGTGGCCACTAGGATGCAGTATAATCACAACAATTAGACATCTGTCCATGACAGAAGTGGCATAGGACAAAAAAGTTTTGAGAGTGAAAAAAAGAGTGCATCTCACGTTTTGTATAATTGTTTTTAATGTGTATTTTTTTTCATCTGCCCTTCTGTGTATACAGACACAACAATAAAAAAAACTGTCCACCACCAAATTCACCAATAAATGTCACTTAATAATATCATGCAAAATCAAATAAGATACAAAACTGATAATACTGTATATAAAATCTAAAATAACACACTGCATGATATTGCCACACACAAACCATAACAGAAACTCTGTGGGCACCTTCATCAGTATGCATACGGTGTAAATACAAGCATATGTTGCTTTATTGAATAATAGCTGTTTGTATGCTAAACGTTCACATAATGATGAAGGTACCCACAGAGTTTCTGTTCTGGTTCATGCTTGGCCATATCATGCAGTGTCCTCATTAAAGATATGGGTGGCCTGGAGGAAGCAGCTCCTTATGATTTATGTACTGGTCCAATGATTGTGGTGCCATTTCCTGACTGCAGCATTGAGAACAAGCTATTGTTTGGGTGGCTTGTAATCCCTCAAGGAGCAGCTGAAGACACACCTTTTCCACAAGCACTTAATCACCCCACACCCTTAAACCAATGAGCAAAAATGTAGGCCTATTTTTCTTCACTGAATTTCTCCTTTTCTTAGCTTGCTCAATGCTCTCTAATCTAGTTGTTTAATAAACCAGGGCGTTCTGTTTTACGATTATTGTTGGTTCTCTGACTAATTGCTCTGTTCCTTACTTCTTTCTGTACTATACCTTCAGTCATATACTCAGTTGACCGTCTGCACGTCTCTGCCGTCCTGAGTTGTTCTGCTCCCATGCCAGGTGGTAATACTACCTGATGGGATTCTTTAAATAGTGCTTGTGTAGAAAGGGGGTCCTCATAAACTTCTCCTGCTTCTGAAGCCACCCTGCTGTCCCACCCTGACTGAGCTGTTGGTATGTGTGATTAATTTCCTCTGTGACTGTCTGAAGGTGTGAAGTTGCTTTTTTTTTTTTTTACTAATGGAGCTGGGGTCATGTAAGGCCATACATAAGTTCAGTTATGTGTGTATCAGACTCAGAAATTAGTTTTCTATTAAGGGGCGCTATTTGCCCCTGGGATTGATTTCTGGGGTAATTTTTTTTATCTTTGTAAGAGCAATTTATTGAATTAACTTTGTTAAAAAAATTGACTTTTTTTCTTATTCAAGTATTTATTTAATTAATTTAATCAATCGATTAGGATTTTATCAACATAAACAAAAGTCATCTTTACACTGCAAAGGTGGTACAGAAGCTGCATCTGACATAGCATGTTTATTCACACTTTAATGGAATAGTTCATCCAAAAATGAAAATTTACTGAAAATGTACTCAACCTTAGGCCATCCGAGATTAGTTTGTTTCTTCATTGAAACAGCATTACATCATTTGCTCACTAACGGATCCTCTGCAGTGAATGGGTGCCGTCAGAATGAGAGTCGAAACACTACTCTAAAAAGAGTAATGTTATCTCAAAAGATAGCCAAAGCTACGGTTATTATTTCCATACTGACCTCATAAAAAGCCCTATCAAACTAATTTGCCGTTCTGTTGAAATGAAAAACTGTAAAGGGTTTCAGTGCCATGAAAACTGCTCTTATTGCTCATATTTCTATTAATTGCTTATGAATGATCCATGCACAGCTTAGTCTCACCTGAATTGTTGAAAGTTTCCATTCTTAGCCATCTATATTTTTAAAAAAAATCTGGAAAAGTCAAAGCAATGACAACAAATGGGCCATATGAACACAGCATAATGTGATATAGCTCATTACATGCTTGGCAGACAGTAAAATGTAGCATTCTGTTCTGCGATCTCGCTGCAGGGTTAGAAGAGCACAGTGTGCGAGGTCATTACGATTCTCTTAGGAAAATGTTTTAATGCCTTGTGAAATGAAGTATATATATATATTACATGCTGGTGGCACCAAAGAGAATGTAGATAATATTGTACGCTCCCTGGGGCCACTTCTTCAATTTCTGAGCTGTCAGAGGTTATATTTGCTCTAATTGCCACACACATGTGTGAAATACTGCAGGAGTGTCTTAGAGACAATATATATCCTGCACAGGTGAGTGACAATTACTCCCATATAGACTGAGCTTTACCTATTTTATTTTATTTTAAATGAAAAAAAAATTAATGAATCAATAATTTTAATATTAAAATGTTAAGCAGTTTTAGCTAAGAATTTTGGCAGCAGTGTAGATGTTATATTTCACGTAATTTTATTTGAGAGCATCAGATTTAATAAATGTTGATTAAAAGCTAGTGTGCTTTTGAGAAAATGCATTAAAATAACCGACACGACACCAGACCAATGATTTGCATTTGGTGGATTTTGCATGGACTTTGATACAAATCCAGTACTTCTAAACCTCCTCTTATAGCAGCCGTTTATTCATGCAACGCCAGTTCCAGTAAAGCAGCTGAGTCCGTGTGTGTGCTTATGCAAATGAATCTCCTTATGGACTAATCTAAACCCTTCTTCCATGTTTGATAATTCCGCTCTTTCCTGGTTCAAGTGTATAGCATATTGGCTGAGTAAAGGTGTGAGATATAAAACCGTTCAAGCAAAAGGCCTGTCTGAAAATTATATTGGATTTACAATTCATAGATAAACTGTCCAAAGCAAAGAGCGTCTTTGATGACTTACAGCTTCTTGTATACAATAAACATTCAGTTTATTTAAAGTGACAACACTGGAGAGAATCAGTTGAATCTGAATGTGAGTGAAACACACAGGAAATATTAAAATAGGGACCATTAATTGATTATTTCACATTTTGAATTTATACAATGTGCCTGATAGTCAAAGTGCATGCTTTATTGCGTATTAGACTAATCAAACGGGTCAAAGCTGCTGCGTGGTTATTACATGTTTATTAGAAGCAGTGGCACACACAGATCTTGCTATCAACCCATTAGCACATTTGATGTGATTTAATTTGATTGCATTTCATTTCAGTAATACCCATCATGCTGAGGCAGAGGTCTTTAGTGCTGTAGTCTAAAGCAGCCCAGATGTGCTGTTGACTCCCGCAGGAGAATGATGG